AGGGAAAACAGGAGGGCGGGCTGCAGAGCCAAGGCAGGGTTGCCAGCTGGCACCCCGGAGTGCAGCCATCACAGGAGGGGAGAGATGTGTGTTGATGATAAAGATGGAGGCCCGAAGGCCCAGACACAGAGCAAAGACAACTACAGCGTCCATCCCAGGACTGGCTCTTTGCCCTCCACCACAATCTGGGGAGGGCACCTGTGCAGAGTCCCCATCTCAGTAGACAAGAGCAACACCACAGGGAACACTGGCAGAAACCGCCTGGCCATGCCAGCTAGGGCACTGTGGGCCATCTCTCTGAAATCCTGGGCATGTAGCCACATAGCTGTGGGCATTTCCCAGCCTCCCTTGCCATCAAAGAGGTTGACTCTCGCTCCCCATGCCCCACCACCGCAGAATTTGAGAAGTGAAGTGTGCGAGCTCCCTCTCCCACGCTTAAAAGAAACAGCCACCCGACGGCTGCCTCTCACTCAGTCCTCCTGTCCTGGCTGGGATCCGTGGGTGCAACTCTGCTGTGACCACGCAGATGAAGGACAGCACCCTCGGGGAGAGGGCGCACACTGCCCACCTGGCCTGGCTGGACTGCGGTACAGGAGCGACACGTGCCCCATCTCCTGTGGGTCTCCGCCTCAACAGCACAGATGCCCTTCACCCAACACACGCACGTCAGCATTCACTAAGAGAGGACGTGCTGTGGACTTACCTCCTCAGCACACAAAGTGTGGAAGGGCAGAGGAAAATATGCTAGTCCTCCTCTCTGCCTCTTGCCCTCCCAGGTCACACAGCCACAGGTAGCCACTCTCTGATGTGACAAAGGAGCCACACGATTCCCACCTAAGCCGCTCTCATTCAGGGCAGAGGACAGTTTAGGGCTGATGGAGAAAAGGGGGCCAGCCCAGACCCCCCAGACTGAAGCCACTCCAGACTGCAGAGCACGGGGAGGCAGGGGAAGCTGCAGCGGGTGAGAGAAGTGACACCAACCTGAGCAGCACTCACTACTCCAGGACAGGGGCAGGGGAGAGAGACAGAAGGCAATGCAGGGGGCAAACACCAAGGCGGCAGATTCAAACAGAAACACAGAGCATCACACTAAAGATAAAGGAGCCAATGTGCCCGGCCAGGCCCGAGCCGCCAGCCAGGGCAGAGAGCTGGCATGAACTATATTGCGATTGAATACCATTATAAATCCAGTTCCTTGGCCGCCACAGCCACGTGTGCACAGAGCACAACACTCCCGCTATCTCCAGAGGCTCTGGCGGACAGCACATCTCAACCACTGCAATCAGAAAACAGAGACTGTCCAATCAGAGGAAGGGAAGATTCCACTGTACAACTACTCAAAGCCCTGCTGTTGATATGCAAGATCACGTCTTCTAAAGCTCTCGCATGGAGCCAGAGCAGCTGCACTCCTCCCAGGTAGAGCCAAAGGCAGGACACCTGCAACCTGGAGAAGAGACAAAACAGACCCAAACACATGGGAACCCACATCCCCCCCACCCCAGAAACACAGGTGCACAAACTGCAAGAAGGAACCTCAACCCACGGCGGAGTCCCGAGTCGACCCCCAACCTTGCACCCCCAGTCAACAGTTGTGGACAGAAAATGGGCAAGGACTCAGGTGAGGAGAACAAGCCTCTGAGTGCAACCTGAGCACACATGGGGGGTGCCCTGCGGCACAAGTCAGCGCACCTGGAGGACGCGCCGAGTGGACACACAGACAGCAAGGCCACAGACATATCTATGAGAGTGGACATCATGAAAAATACTTTCTCTGAACACAACAGAATTAACTAGAGATCAGCAGCAAAAAGAAATCTCCCAGCATGCATCATTACTTCACATTAAACAGCACACATCTAAATGAACGCCACGTAGAATAAATCACAGGGGAAACCAGAAAACATTTTAAATGAATGAGATGAAAATGTGATATATTTATATAAGTAAAGCAAAGCAGAAAAGAAAGTTTATAGCAACAAACATATTAGAAAATAAGAATGGGCCTAAGTCGATTATCTAACAAAAGCAAAATGAACCTAAATAAACAAAAGGAATAAAAAACAAAGATGATCAGACATAATTCAATAGACATTAGAGAAAATCAATATAATCAGGTTCTCTCAAATGATGAATAAAATCAATACATTTACATCAGACTAATTCTAGGACCACAAACTTAAACCAGACTAACCAAGGACAAAAGAGCCAACGCAGAGTAGCCAGCCCCCAGGAGAGGAGGGGAGCGCCTCTGCAGACCAGCAGAGAGGAGACTTGGGGTCTCTGGCAGTCTCACGGGATTAACCTACAACTTGCTCCAACAGACATTCAGATAGACAGAAGCAAGTGGGCAGCCAAGTGAACGGCCATCTGCCTGAGACAGAGACAGCAGCCAGCACCTAAAACCCAACTGACCAAACCCACCATGCATAACACTGACTCAGCGTGCGTCACAGGTTCAAGTGCAGAAGCCTGAGGCCCAGAACTTCTACACTTAGAGCAGCAGGGACTTCTCACAGCCTGAGAGTGGGCAAAGACTTATGAGGCAGGACACAAACAAAGGCACAGAGGGAGAAACTGCTCAAACAGTGAGACTTTTCACCTGCAAAAACACTGTTTAGAAAACAAAGACAAGCCACAGTCTAAAGAAAATATTCAAATTCAGACAYATGATAAGATAACATAACGTTCAGAATGATGAGCTCAGTGACACTGTAACCCGATATCACACTGTGATGGGTTCAAATAGACACTACAAATAGCCAGTACACACAGCAGGACACTCCACACCAGGGAAAGGCAAACCGAACCTACAACCAACCAGACACCAGTCCTCACCACCCACGGTGCCTGGACCCCCGAAGTCCCACGACGCCAGCTCTGGCAAGGGTGGAGAGCAAGTGCGCTCGCTCCCACTGCTCAGGTACAACCACTGGGAAAAAATTCAATCCCCGCCTAAGTAGAAGCACCGCCCTGTGAAGACTGTCCCCAAATGCCAACTACACAGACTGCGGAGCACTCAATCCCACTCTCCAGAAGAGAAGGTTGAGGCTGGAAGAGTCACCAGCAACATGAAGGTGCATGGATGCACCACCACAGAAGAGCCAGAGCACGCAAGGCCAGGGGCAGGAAGCGGATGCTAGAGAGCACGGGCTGCCTGCGAGTGACAAGATCTGCTCTAGAGTTACATGGAGGTGACAGACGCATGACAGCAAGAACATGCTGAAAACCACTGAACTACACACCGTAAGAAGGGTGAAATGGCGAATTCTGATGTGTGACTATTATTTCATTTAAGGAATAAAATAATAAAATAAGAGATTGTGGTGCCTGCCAAAGGCCCAGCACCAGCTCAACTTAGCAAGACCCTGGCTGTGTGGCCTCAGGCAGCCCCTCAACCTCACCTCTGCAGGAAGCAAGTGAGGGCCCCACAGTCTGGACCCAGGGACCTTTCCAGACCTTGCCCTCAGAGATCCCAGGGCCACCACCACCTGACAGCACACAGGCAGGTCCTACAGCTTCCAGGACACCACGTCCTGCAGATAACAAGGAACAGCAGCCAGAAGACTGTCCAGTACAGGGTGGGGACCAGGCAGGTGCTGGTATCAGAGAAGGGGACAGTACACATGCCAGCTGCTAGTCAGATGGCACCATCTTCACAAGTCTTAAATTCTCTACCTGTTTTAAGAACCTGGTTTCAAAGCTCTCCAAGGCCCACCCTCAGGCCAGGGGCCTGGAACATCTGTTCAAACACTGTGCAGGCCTGCCAGCTCTGCCACAGGCAGCCGCACGGGGCACCTCGTCTTCATTGCACACGCCCCTGGGCGGCAGAGCAGATCTGAGCACACACACTAGGTACCGCTATGGTCAACCAGCCACAGCCCTAAGCTCTGGGGATGGGCCTGGGCCCAGTTCCAGCCATGACTTGTGCAGAACAGGGCCTCGACCCTCCACAACTGGGATCTTCTGCATGGCCCAGGGGTCACCCACACCTACACATATCTGGGCCCTACTCAGAGCTCCTGGACTTCAGGCCTAACTGACCTCTCTTGACCTCCCCAACCTGTCATTTGCCCCCAGAGTTACACCCTCTGGGTGCTCCAAGAAAGACCCTGGGCAGCCCTGGGCAAATCCTTCCCCCAGGTCTCAACCTGCCAACCATGGTGCAGCAGGTTGAATCCACCAGGACTGAGGTCTCTGATGGGCAGGGACATAGCATAGGGTACGGTGGCACTCTCCTGCATCCCAGCCACTTGGAGGCTGAGACTGAAGGTCGGCTTGAGCCCAGGTATTCAGGGCCAACCTGTCAAACACAGCAACAGGCCCCCTCTTAAAAATAAATAAGCAGAAGGATTTCAAGTTCAAGGCCAGCCTCAGCAATTTAGCAAGACCCTAAGCAACTTAAAAAAACAAAATGGGGTGGGGATGTGGTTCAGTGGTTAAGTGCCCCTGGGTATAATCCATGATAATAACTAGATAAAAAAATAAATACCATTACACAGCAGCAGTATCTCACATTACAGCTCTGAAACCAGGTCACTGAACCAACTTAGCAAGTCATAGTGAGCATTTTTTTTTTTTTAAATGAATAGGACAGGAAAAAGCAGCAAAATATCCGGCTTTGAAATGCCTGTAACTCAGCAGTGGTTACGATCCCAACATCTCTTACTCCCATCACATTGAAGAGACTGCCTAAATGACCGGGAGAAGAGAAGTAGGCTCCGAGTGGCTCCAGGACAGGGCAAGGCGGGCAGTCACCACCCACTTCTGAGCACCTTGGCACATTAAAGATGTCTGAACGTCATGAACAGGCATAAGTGAACGAGGGAATGGGGCAAAGAACCATGAATGAGGACATTCTGAATGACAACAGTGGGGACAGAGGAAGACATGGACAGGGAGGAGACCACTGTGGAGGAAGGTGTAGCAGTGCGGCCAAGGTGCAGCCACCCTCCCTCTGGCCACGTCACAGGTCTGGAGGGCGAGCTGGCCCAGGAACTCACCTTTGGGCAGCTCGAGGCCAATGCCCTCGGCAGGCAGGGCTGGGCAGGAGAAGGTCTTGGCCACTGCCTGCTCCACAGGTGTGAGGGCCAAGGCCTGTGGCTTCCCGGAGCCCAGGCCAGGATCAGGCGTGGCCTTCTGGAGGTCGCCCAGCTTGCGCCGCACAACAGCACGCAGATCCCGCCACTTGTGCTTCAAGTCAACGACGTCACGGCGGCAGTAGCCCAGAGCATTCACGGCCTGCAGGATGCGGCTCCACACGCGGTACCTACGGGTGGCCTCGGCCTTCATCAGCCCCGTACCAAACAGCAGCTGGTGGTGCTTGCTGACCTTGGACACCAGCACCTCCGTCTCCTGCAGGCAGAAGTTGGGCTTCCTCTTCTTGGCCCGGCTGGCACTGGGTCCCGCCCTCCGGCCAGGGGGCCCCACAGCAGGGTCCTTCCTTGGACCAGAGGCAGGGGGTGAGGCGGGCTCCAGGGTCCGGCGGCCCTTGGAGGCAGCGCCTAGTCCTGGAAAGGCACCAAAGCGGGTGTTTAGGTCCCTGGACCTGGCGGGGGTGGCAGCTCGGCAGAGCTCCCAGGGCGCCTCCTCTGTGGTTGCTGCTTCAGGACACAGCTGCCTGCTCCTGACTACCTCCTTGCTGGGCACCCAGAGTCCTGGGCTCAAGACCCCCTAGCTTCCACTGGCCTGCCTGTCTTCCCTTCTTCTTCACCACCATGGCAGAAAGGCAGGGACAGCCACCCCTGGGCCCTGTCCATCCCGCTGGGGCTACCCCTAGGACAAACCCTGCCTGAGAACAGCCCTTGCCAGCAAAAGGCCAGAGTGCCATCTATACCTGGCCGCCTGCCAAAGCACAGCCTCATGAGCCCAGTGGGCACTGGCCTAGGTCTCCATGCCCATGCTGGAGCCACGGCAACAGCAGGAGAGAAAGCCCGATTTGCAGCACGCTCCCCTGCCACCCAGTGTGCCACAGCCCTCCCGCCCCAGCCCACCGGGGCCCCGGCCAGGCCAGCAAGCAGCACCAGAGCCTCCCTGTCTTTCCCTACCCACAAGCTTTGTCTCCAAGCTGTGGCTTCCTGGAGGCAAGGGCCCGGTCTACTTCCAAAAAAATACCCAGCTCTGTAGGAGCAAGGGTGGGCTTCCCACAGGTAGGGGCACAGCCCCCAATGCTGGAAGACTTTCGGGGCAGATTTTTTTAGGGTACCTAAGCCCCCTCAAGAGAAGCATGCAAGACCAACAGCTCTGCCCTGCCCCCCTGGCCAGTTCCCCTAGAAGCACCAAGAAGAGGCCTCTCTGGCAGGAGGAAAGTCCACCCAGGCCCTTCTGCAGAGGCCACCATCCCTGTGCCTCCTCCACCATACACCTGCCTGAGGGCTGCACTGCCCCAAACCATCCTGGTCTTATAGACTCTGCGAGGGGGCCCATGCCTCCTGGCTCACTGTCCAGAAATGGCCCACATATACTCCAGTTCTGGCCCTTGGGACAAGGAGACCAGCCAGGAGGGGAGTATTATGGTTTGGATGTGAAGTTTCCCCCAAAAGCTTATGTGTGAGACAATGCAAGAAGGTTCAGAGGAGAAATGATTGGATTGTGAGTCTTGACCCAATCAGTGAATTAATCCCTTAATGAGGATTATCTGAGTGGTAACTGGAGTGGTAGGGAATGGGTGGAGGAGGTGGGTCTTGGGGGCGTGGCCTTGGGGTATATATTTTGTATCTGGGGGATAGAAACTCTCTCTGCTTCCTGATCAACATGTGAGCGAGCTGCTTCCTTCTGCCAACTCTTCCACCATGCTGTTCCGCCTCCCCTCAAGCCCTGAGGAATGGAGCCGGCCTTCTATGGACTAAGACCTCTGTGAGCCTCTACAGTTGTTCTGGTCAGATCCTTTAGCCACAGCAGAGAAACAGCTAAGACAGGGAGGAGAGAGGGAAGGGTGCAATCTAGCTGCTCTAGGGGTGGAGGCTCCCACAGGACAAAGAACTGCACCAGGTGATCTTCAGAGACAGAGTAAGAGCAAATGCTCTGGACACCTGGGGAGAAAGGCCACAGAAGCAGCCTTGGCCAATCACAGACGGGGGTGATGCCCAGACCTATGCCTAGTGTCTGAGAACCTGCTGGGCCCCCTTCCCACGCTCTCCCTGCAGGAGACACAGTCTCCACCCAGCAGTCACTGCCCAGCACGACAGCCTAGGAGGAGGTACAGACCCTCAGTGACTGGGACCACCATTTGCTCAGCAGTGGGGACCCACGCTGCCCTGCCTGCACCCCCACCATCACRCATCTCACCACGCCGGCACCCGGCCACCCCAGCCAGGCTGCAGGGCCCATTATCTCACAGGGATCCCCCAAACACCCCTACAAGGGCTGGTCCAGTCTGCTCACCTGAATCACACAAACCTTGAACTTGGGGGTGGACAAGCCTGGGACATTTATTGTTTTAGAGTAGAATAATACAAATTACATGCAGACAGTTAGGGCTGGGGCTGTAGCTCAGTGGTAGAGTGCCCACCTTGCACATGTGAGACACTAGGTTCAATCCTCAGCACCACACAAAAATAAATAAAGATAAATACTTTTTTAAAAATGCAGACGATTATGAATTTAAAAATAAATTATTTGCAACCAAGATATCCCCAGATGGGTCTGGGGCTGTAGCTCAGTAACAGAGCACTTGCCTAGCATGTGTGAGGCACTGGGTTCAACCCTTAGAACCACATAAAAAAATAAACAATTAAAGGCATGCTGTCCATCTACAACTATAAATTAAAAAAAAAAAAAAGATATCCCCAGATAAATGTTAACCTGTTAAAATACTGTATATGGCTTTGCTTCTTTTATTTACCACATTTGTCACTAATTGTAACACATAGCAAATCACTCAAGGTCCTTCAACACTGTGGTTTATTTTAATTTTTTGCAGGGGAGGGGGGTACTAAGAATTGAACCCTCTGCAACTAAGCTACATCCTCAGCCCCTTTTTATTTTTGTTTTGAACTTACAACCCTCTTGCCTTCACTCCCAAGTGGCTGGGTCATATCGGCTGTGCCAGTGCCCCACTGCACTAAGATTTTAGGGAGGTGTCAGACTGCATTATGGACTGCCACTTAGCAGACCGCACCCCTGCACTGGTACATACAGTCTTTCTAGTTGGCACTGTGAAACCATGCTATGGTGAGCACCTCTGCCTGCCTCACTGACTGTTCCCTAAGACGGAGTCCAAGAAGAGGCTGAGAGAGGGAACATTCCGGGCGCCCCAAGCTGGCTGCTCTGGGACCAGACAGTTCAACGGAGAACAAGCCCTAAAGCTGCATAATTACGGATAGGGAAACAGGACCTGGGTGCCCAGCAGAGCCTGGGTAAGTGTAGCTGTCCTCACCCTGCAGGCATGTGCCTCCACAGCTGTCTCTGTCTCCCTGCTGTCCTGCCTGGAAGTAACTGGGCCTCTACAGCCAGCCCCACCGAAGCCTTCACGGGCCAGCCACGGTAGAGGGGACTGCACCAAAGAGTGAGCTGAGTAAGACCCCACCAGCACCCTGACAAAGCCCCAGTGTGAAGAGTCAACGTGTCAAGACAACACCAGCCTTTTTCTGATAGAAATGAAATTACACTAGAAATCACTTTTAAAAGACATGAAAAAAAATACATATGCTTAGAAATTAGTAAATCTATTTGTAAATAATTCCTGGGTCAAAGAAATCCTAATTGAAATTAGAAAATATTTAGAACTAAAAAATTTTTAAAATACTCTGTTTTTAAATGTGTGGTATTCAACTAAGTGTACCTCTTTGGAAATTTATTTATTTTAAATACTTTTATTAGGAAAGAATAAAAGCTGAGTATTGCCTATGAACAAGAAAAACATCCAATCTGCAAGTCAGAAAAAATAAAATGGCATCAATTCGAGAAAAGGGGAGGAAAATAAAGAAAATACAAGCAGAAACTAATTAAATTTTGAAGCTAACATGTAGCAGAAAGATGAAGAAAGTCAGAAGTCACATCACAGAGAGATTTGTACACCTATTTCAAAGAGGAAAATGGGAAGGCGAGCACACTGTCAGGAGTGAGGGGACATCACTCGGACACTGACAACCTGCGTCAAACAAGGGCGACTGGCCACTGCATGCCTCCTAGGGCCCTGGCTACACAGGAAGCAACTCACTCAACCTGGACCCCAGGTGGCCCAGCACAGGGGCCAACTCGCCTGCTACCTTCAGATGGTGCTGGGCCCAGAGCAGGCTATTTGGAGTCTGCGCTCCAGCCCACGCAGGGTGCTGCCCACGTGGCACCTGGCCAGGACAAGCTCTGTGCACATTCCTTCCACTTCAATACACGGGAACATCTGGATGAAGCAGATGCTTTTCCAGAAAATGCCACTTAACAAAATGATCCAAGGAGAAACAAAAACCTGAACAGTTTTTTACTACAAGAGAACTTAACAGGAAGTCAGAACTCCTACAAACAAAACCAGTCTCCCAGCAAAATCCCAGAAACACACAGTCCTATGTGCCCACAAATTCACAGGAATACATGAGGGTCGTGACTCAGGACGGTTCGGCCCGACTTTTCACTGTAAGTGGGAAAGTAGTTACTAGAAATCAAGGTCTTTTCCTGGGCTGGTGACACACAGGGGACCCTCCCCTGCAATGCTGGGCAGATCCAGGCAATCCCACGATCACCAAGGAAGCTACCACAACTCCACAGGTTGCTGTGCTGCCTCAGCCTTCTGGACACCATGCCTTGAGGTCCTGCACCTGGTGTCTGCAGACGCCAGTCTCTGTGCATCAGGAGTCAACACTTCATTAAGACAGCCTTGGTGTGAGGCCATCTGCTCCCAGCTGTAGGTACTGCAGGGTCCTGAGCACCTCAAGGAGACTGGGCACGCCAGGGAGGAACACCAGCACATTCACGCTCATGATGGCTCATGGGGGCAGGACCCTTCGTAAGTCAGGGCACCATCTGCAGTCACCAATTCCGTCAAACCTTGGAGAGAGGCTCCAGCTAGCTCAGGAAGGGAAGAAAACAAACAGGATGAAGCCAGGCACAGGAAGAGACAACGACGTCATCTTACAGGAAACTGAGGAGATGCCGCGGACAAGTCACGGCCATTTGGGAGAGGAGTTTAGCAGAAGCTGTGTGCAGAACAGTGGGCAGAGGTCGGCCACACTCCACAGAAGCCTGCTCCCTCCAGCAAACAGACCTYGAGGCAAAAGAAATCGAGATGGAGGCACCCAGGTGATCAGAGGCTCAGAAGGCACACAGAAGTGTCACAAGAACAGCCATGGGAGAGCTCAGTGACCCAGCATCGAGGCTGAGACACGCTGCAGCACTGGAACCCTGTCACTGGAGACAACTAGATGTTCAGGCCAGGTGACCAGAAGCCTGACTCGTCAGGGTTCGGGAGGGTACAGACAAGCTCAGCCGGGCAGGAGTGGGGGGTAGCAACAGAGACCACAGAAGGCTGCCCTGGGGGTAGACACATCACCATGTCTACTTTTGTAGGTTTGAAAGTATCCATGTTTAAAAAGTTAAAAGAGCAAAACATTTAAATTAAATAAAATCTCTGGACGCTGCTTTTTAAAATAACAACTGTATATGTACACAGCAACAAACATTTGGAGAAGTGTCATACTCTGAAGAGTACCACCGAAAATAGCAGCCAAATAGCAGCAGGTTTTTGTTGTTCTTCTTCTGTTGAAACAAATTTAAGATATGTAAATCTTCATGGAGAAAATGACAAGGCTCTATCAAAAGACGTGAAAGAAGACCACACATCCAAAGACGACACGCCGCCGTGGGCTCAGGGTAGGAGGTCCCCGTGCAGGCTCGTGCCTCGGCAGGCGGACCCAGAGCCAGCCAGCCAAACCCAGGAATGTGACACACTGATTCTCAACTTCATGTTCAATAACAGAAAGCCCAAAATACATAAGGCATTTCTATACTGCAATGAGAAGGGCAACCTGCCCTGGAAAACAGAGAATTACGAGAAAGCTGCAAAAATCAAGACGGATTTAACACCAGAATAGAAAACTGACCGAGAGGCCCCAAGGGACACTGGCTCTCCTTGGCCAGTGCTGCAGGTCTGCAGAAAAAGGAGGAACACACGGTCTGGACCATTTGCTGCTCAAATCGTGGAAAAAACGTTAGAGTCCCTCTCCCTGCTCACACGACCTCACGCCATCAACGAGGTCACTTTCCTGGAGAACACAAAGGCACATCACTAAACCAACTGACAGGAGAGTGGTGTGGGTGAGAGGAGTGGGAATTCCTGCCCACAGCAGGCACGACCCACGGGGGTGTCCACAGCACGTCATTGAGGGTTTCCGTCCCCAACACAGAGGAAATGTAGAAGAACAAGACAAATCCAAGATAAAAACAAGAGCAATGAGCTACAGGAAAGACCTCAGGGCCCAGTAAACATGAAAGGTCACCCACCTGAGCTAGGAAAACAGACTGAGGCCAGACAGACCACCTCACACCCACATGCGTGAACTGGCAACAGCCTGGCAACATCCCTGTCCAACACCATTTGGTGCTGACAAAGACATGGAGTGGGGCCGGAGGAAGAGGGTGGGCGGCATGAGAAGAGCAGGCAGGACTGCGACCCTCGTTCCACCCCGAAGACTCTGGCCACTGTCTGTGCTGGCATGGAAAGGGAAGCAACCTGGGCGTCCCTCAGACATGGAGCTGGCAGAGATGCCACAGTGCACTGTGGAGCTGCATGCAGAGCACCGGGAGAATGAGCCCAAGGAGCCCTGGCCGTGTCTTTGGCCTCAGGAACAAAATGCAGAGGAGAAGTAAGTCCCAGAACTACACGAATACCACTCGATAAGGCCCAAAGCCATTTCGAAACCAGCACTAAGGAAACACAGCAACACACACAGACCTCGGGGCCGGAGGGAGGGAGGCGGGCTGAAAGGGCATGTGCAGATCTGTAGCCCAGGATCGATGAATTCTGCACCTGAACCACGAGCGTGCACCGCACACAGGGCCCTGAGAACACATGCAAACCAAGGGCCCAGAAAGGCGCTCGCCCTGCACCCTGCCGAGAACCCTGAGGGCTACCCCAGCCCCAAGGAAGGAGGCATGTGACAGGACACTGTCCTGCTGCCCTTCCACCCACGTCTCTCACTGCCACCCCTCCCAGGCTCCAGTTGATGGCTCATAGACTGTCCCCATTCCAAGGCTCCTTCACCTCCTCGGCTCAAGCAGCCCTGGCTAGCCAGCCCAGTCTTGCTCTTCACACAGTTCACGGCACCCATGTGAGGTGATCTCAGAAACTCTCCCAGGCAGGATGTGACCCTAGGGCATGGGGCTCACCTGCTTCTTCTCCCCCATGCCTCTAGCTCCTAGAACACAGCCTGGCACACAACACTCGGCAGTGGAGAAGAGGAGGCTGGGGGTGGAGGAGCCTGGGCAGCTGCTGTTCTGAGGGAAGAGGAAGGGGAGGTCCTGTAGGGCAGTGGCCCCATGAGGAAGAGGGAGGTGGCCACTTCTGATGAGGTCTGGGACCCTCACCCTTCCTGCACCATCCACTTCCCACCACAAGTGAGAAAAACACCAGCCCCACTCTTTGCTAGAGACGCAGAGCTAAAAGTCAAGGACAAGCCCAGTGGTGGCCCATGCCTGGCCTCCTCCTCTGAACAGGCAGCCTGGGGAACTGAGCCCTGGCCAGGAGCCTGGAGGGCCACAGGGAAGAGAGTCCCCAACCCACAGAGAAGCCCCCACCTGAAACTCAGTGGAGTCAGGCCCAACACACATAGGCTTGCAGCAGCCGCTAGGCTGAACCTATGGCCTGGCCCAGAGCCGGGGGAGGTGAGCAGAGAGCTCAGGCACCCCAAACTCCATGTCTTTCCTCACCTCAAGATGGCAGCTCATGAGGCTGCCCTCCACCAGAGACTGCAGCCGGACGAGCCTGGCAGCCAGGGCGTGCCTAACAAGGGAGCCAGGGGTGCCTTACAGGTCACACCCACATGTGTAAAACTGACCACAGCCTGGCAAACAGCCAGCTCTACAGGGGGCTGAACAGGGAAGTGGCCATGAGACCCAAGGCGGGGCCAGGTGCAGGGGACGGGGCCAAGAGCTCAGTGACGCACACAGGCAGGGCTCTGGCACTCAGAAGTGTCAGGGTAGATCTCAGTCCTGCCCTGCACCAGCCGCACAGCCCCAGGGAGCTGTCATCCCCCGAGTGAGGGCTCAGTTTTCTTCTCCACATGCTACACAAATGGTCACCTGCTCGCGGCAGCATCAAGAAGGGTGGATGTCATCATTCATGCGCTCAGCCACGACCAGACACCCGGGCACCATCGACAGTTCAGCACTGAGCGCCAGCTCCTCACCCCACAGGAAGGCTGACCCCACAGTCTGCCCCCACACAGGACAGCCCCTCAGTCTGTACACTCCCCTGCCTCTGGAGCTCAGCAGCCACAGCAGTCTCTGGTCACGGGCCACACTCCTCAGGGAACATGACATGGAGAAAACCTGCCCATTGTCACCATGCCCACCTATCCTAGGTGCCAGCTGTGTGTCTTTACCTGGAGGCTGACAGCCTTGCCTTGAGGATCCCCTGAAAGGTCCACGGGTCCCCAGGCCACCTCCGCTGGTGATGGACCCATACGACATCTTCTCACAGCAGAAAGGGCAGGCAGCTTCCTCAAGAGCTACAAGAAACACAAAAACTGGGGAGGGAAAGAAGAAAAAGAGAAGGGGTTAAATCCAGATCCAAGGTGGAGAGGGGCTTCATGCCCATCGTGAGCCTGGGTCCTCTGTGTCTTTTTCCAGCTGAACCCTTAGGTTCACGGCAGCCTCCAGGGAGTGGCTCCACCAAGCCCCTTACAGCAGCCACTTACTCCATGGAAACACGGCCCTGAGGAAGACACGCCCGAGCTCTCCCTGCAGAAGTCCCATGGGAGCCCTACTCCCCTATTCCCACTCCACCAAGTTTCTGGGTGGCTGGCTTTCCCCTGGCTTGCCCGCATGGATTGGTGCTGCCCAGGAGCTGAGGCTGCCGGCTGCATCTCTGCCTCCAGCACCGTCTGCCTGAGCGGCCCCTAGTGGATGGCAAAGCAGGGTCAGGCTGCAGAGGGGATCTGACCAGCCATTTGTTAACCTGCGCCCCTCTCCATAAGCCACTGATCCCTCTGGGCCTCAGTTTCTTCCTCTCTAAAATTAGGGCAGTGAAAGTACCTACTCCCCAGGTTTGTTAGGAGCCGTGGCACACATGACATGCTCAGGGCACCCAGCTCTCAACTCCACAGTGACACCAGCCACCCGGTGGCTTGGCACCCTGCATCCAAACCAAGCCATGACCAGGGGCCATGAGATACTCTCTGGCTGGACGCGGCCAGAGCAGCGCCTCCAGGCTCCCAGACCCTAAGGTGGTCCCTGTGCATGCCTCCCCGGGGGACGCCCCAGCCCTCCAGATCCAGCTTGTCACTTGTCACGCCTGCAGTCTGGCCAGCCTCAGTTCTGAAGACCCTACAGTGACCACCCACAAACCATGCAGCCCTGCAGGAAGAGGGGGTCTGGAGCAGAGGGAGCTAGATGCACAGAGAGTCAGAAGCAAGCCTGAGTCCCAGCACCTGAGGATCCCCAAGGAGTCTACCTGGGATCAGCTCCTGGGCATGGTCGCACTGTCATCCACCAAAGCAGTGGCAGCAGGGACTCCAAGCATCCTGGTCTCAGGCCCCCAGGACACTGCTAAGAATCACTGAGGCCCAAAGAGCTTTAGTTTATGTGGAGTCTATCCACAGATATTTACTCGTCTGAAATTAAACAGACTTTTCAGTTGTTTGTTAATTCATTTATCCTAACCTAGATATTTTTATGGAAAATGACTACAGTTTTCAAAGCACAGCACCTCAGTGAGAGCCTCCTGGGCTCATGTCAGTCTCTAGGCAGGCTCGGCCACACACCTGGGTCTGGGGCCAGCCGCATCCTCATACTGATCGGGTCGCTGGGTATAAAGAAGTCCAGCTCTGCAGGAGATACCGTTGGCAGAGGGACCCTGCAAGCCCCAGGGAACCCTGGGGACCTGCCTGAGGCCTTGTGCCCTGTGGGCGGGGAGGAGGGCTCAGGGGCTGGCTGGGGAAGAGGCTGTGGAGGTCTGCTGCCCAGAGGGGCTTAGGGAGCCCAGGGGCTCCATGTGAGATCAGGTCACATGAGGCAGACCTCAGCCCTCGAGGAGCCCTCCACAGCAGGGCCTCCTAGGGGGACCTAGTGGGTACAGCAAGGACACACGGGGACCCAACTTGAAGAGGAGAGAAACTCTTCAGAAAAGAAACAGTAGAGAGCTGACAGTTCACGGACAGCACTCCCACACACCAGCACTCATCTGAGTCCACCACCTTCATAGGCTCCAGCGCTGTGAGATGGCAAGGTCACCTTTGCCTTGCAGGGTGTGGAAACGGAGGCCCAGAGACAGGGGATAACTTGCCCAAGGTCACACAGCTGGTAACTGGAGGAGACAGGCTTCAGAGCCAGGCAGTCTGGCTGCAGTGCCCAGACACAACTGCACTGTCCCCCACCCCCCAAGGAAGAAGGCCCCACAGTCCCATGGAGACTTGAGGACTTCAGGGTGTACTCCATAAAAACCAGGGGTCACCTAAGGAAGGAAGTCAGCTGGGACTGCCTAAACCAGAGGCAGGAAAGGGAACGAGGACTGCGGCTGAACAAGGTGGGCAACCCACTGACCATGCCCCAAGGAAGGTTCTGGACAGACTTCCTCATGAAGATGAGACAACAAACCACTGATATGAAGAAACATGAGACAGAGTGAAAGAGGGTTCTCTGTCTAGGACCCAAGCACAGAAGGCAATCAGGAACCCAAGGAAACCAGAAAGGCAGGCAGGAGATGAGAAGTGGCGTGGCATGTGCACAGTATGCTTGGATGCCACCAGCGTAACATGTGCAAGTGTGTGCGTGTGTACACACACGTGTGCATGAGTGCCTGAGGGGGCGTGCGTGCCTGTAACTGTACACACGGGTGTGAAAAGAGACTTCAATCTCCACATCTTGCAAGTCAATATAATGCCTAAATGCTTTAAAAAAATCAAGTAGCAATGCAGCATTTAGAGAAAAGATAAACATCAAAAGAATCTACTCTCAGAATCAGACGTACTCGACTCTGGGGAGGGCAAAAGAGGAGCACCAGGGATTGCTGTTTTTCTTAATTAATCTTGTAGAATGCATTTACTCTCTAAACTATATGCATGTACAACTTTAGAGTACTAAAGATCATTTGCAAGATTCCAGTGAAACATCATGCAGACAAATTTGCCTGGAGATGAGGTGGAGGGCTGCTGGGGGCTCCCTTAGCAGACAGGAGTCAGGCAGAACCCAATGCTGTGCTCCAGCCCTTGGAAGATGCCCCAGAGCCCCTCACTTTGCCATGTACACCCTCCCACAGATACGCCCCGCATGCCCACTGGGCTCCAGGCACTGTCACGATATGTGCAGTGCAGGCCTGCCTGGCATCAGCCCAACCAGCCTGAGAACTCCAAAAGGGCCTCCCGCAAGCTTGGGGAGCTACAGCCCCAGACAGGGAAGTCCAGCCGCTCAGGAGGTGCTGAGCTCAAAGGGCACTCTCGCCTGTGAGGGCATCTGGACACTCCTAAGAATGACAGACAGCAGTGGCCAGAAGTGACGGACATGAGGAGAGCTGGTGGGGAGTGGGTCTCCTGCTGCTCCAGTACCAAGAATGGACTGCTGGCAGGACACCAGTGGGACTGCTGCTGGGGCTGGGCTCTGGGGGGGCAGAGCAGTGGAGCTAGCAAAGGGCTGGCAGAACCCAGGGAGGGAGGAAGGACGACCAGCCCCGGGTTCCTTCCCGCTGAGAAAGCAGGTGGGCTGTGCTGTGCCCTCCCCACTCCAGAAAAGAAGGGGCAGCTGTTTATGCTCGAAGGACCCCAAGGAGCTCAGCAGATGACTGAAGCCCTGGGTGGGCTGCACAGAGGCGGGGTCTGCTGTGTGAATTCCTATGGAGACATCCTGGAAGAGAAGCTGCCGCAGGGTCAACACAGGAGGGCCAGGCAAGGCGGGCAGGGGACGAGAGGCCCAGATAGCCTCTGAGGGTGGGTGCAGTTACCGTGAGTTGCTGCCAAGGGCAGAGGGTCTGCTGGATTTCATGAGAAGGGGGCACAAGAAAACTTGATGAGGGTCTGAGAGAGGTGGGAGAGTCCTTAGACTGAAGTGGGAAGGGATTCAGAACTCCAGGCACAACTGCAGAGGGTTAGCTGGAAAGGGGCTGAGCAGCCCCAGCACCAGGACCCACCAGGTGCAAGAGAAGCCCTGGGCGGCCTGCTCTCCAGCAGGCCGCGACAGTAGGCCCCACCTCATCCAGCTTGCAAGTCCATTCTGCTGAGTGATGGAAGGTGTCGACACCTCTGTGTCTGCTCAGCCCAGCCTGCTGGAGAAGCACAGCGAGTCTCAGCAGCAGAGGAGGCTGGCCTGAGTACACAAATGCCTCCTGGCCAGCACCCTGGGCCCCAGGGGACACCTGAAATCCACAGGGGCAGGTCCCATTTCTGAGAGACAAGAACACATGGGGTACTCAGCCCCACCAACCCAAACTGGGAGTTTGGCACCCCTGTCTCCAGCATCCCACCTGTCCCCCTCCCCCAGGCCCCAGAGCCAACAGGGCGATCTAGGAGCAGTTTTGAGTGGCCCAGGAAGCACAGCCAACGCACATCCCAGCACCTAATGCCCCGCACTTTGAAACCACGAGGCAGGCACCTGTGCCCTCACAGGCTTCAGGAAGCTGGCCATGCCTCAGCTCATGCTGAACCCAGCCCTGCCATCTGGGGACCCTGCCCCCCATGCCCAGGCTGTCCCCTACCTCAGAGCCTCCACCCAGGCTGTGTCCTTGACTTCATCCCTGCAGTTTCTACCCATCAACCCCACAGGCCAGCCAGGGGCTCCCACCCCACTTCCCGCCCATGCCTGACCTCAGGGTCCCATGCTGACCCCCCACCATGCCAGGCAACTCTCTTCTCCATGAAACACACATTTCTACTTGGCAGGATACTGCCTGCCACCCTTCCTGAGGGAGCCAGGCACCCTCAGAAGCCACACCTGCCTGTGCCCAGCCCCAGTGCAGTCCTCATCCATCCACTTGTTGTGACAATCAGCCAAATCCTAGCAAGCCAAGACACCAGGGCCCAGAGCAAGGTGGCCTCCAGGCTCCGTGCCTGGCCTTTTACTGAGAGGCAGAAGAACAAGATTCCTAGTCCTCACCAGGGACCAAAGTGTGACCTTAGGAACTGGGCACAGCTCACATCCCTGAGCAACCCCACGACTCTGAGATTGGCACTCACAGGGGTCTCATGTACAAAGCAACCAAAGAGACACCAGGAGATGACATGACGGGCCCCAGGCTGCCCACCTCACCTGCACCCTGCCCAGGTGCCTTGCTCACGTGAGTGTCTTTAATCCTCATGGCTCCCTGCAGCGCTAAGTATAACCCCATTTTAAAAAGAGGAAAACCAGGCTCAACCCGCCCAAGGTCACTCCCAAGTGCCAAAGCAGACTGAACAAGCAGGAAGGCAATCAGACTCTCACTGCAACACACAGCTTCAGTTCCAGCTAGACCATGCTGCCTACATCACCGGCCACCTGGAAGACAGGCAGTGCCCTCCCGTTGGCAAGGTTGAGCAAGGCTTTACCCAGGACTCGAGAGCCT